TATATATATATATATATATATATATATATATATATATATATATATATATATATATATATATATATATATATATATATATATATATATATATATATATATATATATATATATATATATATATATATATATATATATATATATATATATATATATATATATATATATATATATATATATATATATATATATATATTATATTATATTATATTATATTATATTATATTATATTATATTATATTATATTATATTATATTATATTATATTATATATATTTATATATCGTACTTTGTCGTGAGGTGCTCTTGGATCAGGAGGTGAGCCTTCCAATGTAGTACTATTATATGGCTGTCCATAAAGCAGAACTCTCGCATAGATTTTTGTCTGTTGACAACCAGCGCAAGATTTCCCTTTATATTCCGATGCCGGTAGATCTTTAAGCACATCAACACACGGCCATGTTGATATTGCTGTCACAACATTCGGTTTCCATTTAGTCGTGAACAAGAGACGACGTTTCCTCTCCTCTGTTACTTCATCGACAATCTTAACATTTGACAGGAAGTAATCATCTAAAGAATAATAGCAAACACACAATTATTATCGCGTCGTGATGCACGTTTATTAAAGATAGTAATAAATCAATTTAATTTATATTTCTTACCTTGTTCTTGTAATATTTCTGTAAGAAAATTCGAATCCAAAGCTTGCGAGATCAATGTCTGTATATAAACTTCAAAATTATCTTGATACTTTTCGGTATCTTTCATAGATTTAATGATGTTCTCGCTGCAATCAGGAAAAAAGAAAAAAATATAAATAAAAAGTCACAAAACTTGTTTAAGTCTTATACAAACATTCACCTATCATCAATGATCATCTCATCTCTCAAGAATTCCACAATTGTTTCTATCTTGCCTTGCTGCCAGAATTTCACAGGAACTTGTTGATATATATGTCGATTTTGTGAAACCCATGCAGAATACTTTGAAAAAAAAATGTAAAATAAAAATTACAGAATAATATATTTAATTACTGTTTTTAATATATTTTACAACACTTGGTTAAATTTACCGTAGATATGTTTCTGTATAAAGTTTTTCCATTGGATTTGAATGGTTCATATTTCTGGAGTAACGTTTTGCCGTCTATTCTCCAAAGAGGGGGATATTCTTCAATCAAATCTGTCTTGATCACAACAAATTCACCAGACTGGAAAATAAGAAAAAATATTATTTTTTATTTAATCCACTGCTAATATTTAATACTTTAATTAGTCAAAGATATTGTTATAAGTCAGTTGTAAGAAATACATATATGCATGGGGTATTGTAGCAAATTTTAATTAGAATTTAAAAAAAATTAAAGATTACCGTGTCTTCTGAATTGCTTACAGAATGCTGCATGCAAAATATAATGAGATTATTAATCTGTTATTCGTAATATGAGGCCAATTAATATGTTGAATCATCTTTGCAAAATCTGTACCTTAAATGGTGAGATATCGATATCTTCGTCGCTTGCTGCCGCTGCTAATTTTTCATCATTCTTAGAAGAAACTTTGCCAGAACTATTAAAGTTTTTTGAAGACATTTCGTGTTTTTTCCTTGTCGATTTTTTGGAAACAATAGCTTCCCCAGACGAATATCCATCTTCCTCCAAGATCTTCCTAATTTTTTTTGTGATAGCAGGTCTACCACGTTTCTTTCTCTTTTCTTCTTCTTCCCCGATCAATTTTACAGCAGGAGTCCACGCTGGATCTGAATCGGAATCGACTTGTTCCTCGTCATTATCGAAATAATCTATACCCTGTTGTCGATCCAGAAATTGTTTCACTGAGGTCTTTTCTTTCGCTTTTCTTCTCGATGTCTCACGTCTGGGAGGAAGGAGTAAAGGATCTACTGTGCAAGATATACATATTTTCAAAGCTGTAAAGTATCAATTAAAACAAAACAGAGAATATAAAAGATACATCCATATTACCTTCTTCAGCCTTCTTTGAAGACTTTTTCTCTGTTTCCGCTGCTGCTGCTGCTACCGCTGCTGCCGCCGCTGCCGCTGCAGCAGCTCTTCTCTTTCTATCTGTGGGTCCACCGGGCTTAATAGGCCGACCTTTCCTACCTTTTCCTTCTGATTTCACAGTAACAACTTCAGTATTACTAGAATTACTTGCGTTCTGCACTTTCTTCTCAGTTTTCTTAGGAGCAAACAGAAAGTCATCGTCACTAGTAAATCCGTCGTCACTCGAATCAAAGTTTGACTTTTTTCTCTCCTTCGGCAATGGAAAGTACCTAGGATCATTAGCGTAATCTATTACAGGTGTTTCCTTAACCGATGTTTCCTTAATCGGCGCCGGTTTTTCTTGGGGTTTAGTAGTTTCGCCGTTAATTAAAGCTTCCGTAGGTTTATTCGACTCAACGGGTATATACGGTTTTGACCTGTTCCATGTAGCCTTTCTGCCACCGCGTATAGCAGGCGGCGGAGAGGGATCTCTTTCACCTTGCAGAAACTTTAAGTAGCTCGTCATAAAGCCTGTATTCGGGTCTCGATTGGGCCGTTTAAAGTCTTTGTTCATTTGATTCGCGCTCGGCATCAGTTGCTGATCCTGCTTAAGGAAACCTAGCTCCTCTTCGATATTAGGAACGATCACTTTAGGCTGGTCGTCTTTGACTTCTTGATTGTAATTGGTGTTTTGATTCGCGGTATTCTCGAATCCTATCGGCGTTATCTCGACCGAGGATTGGAATTCGTGTGGGTGATGTGGATGATGACCCGCGGGAATATGGAAGGCCGGAAAATATGGGAGAGGCGGCGGCGCGTGATGATGCGACACCATTAGCGTCTGGTGCTGGTGTGCCGGGGTGCCCACAAAATTAGTCGAATGGTGCAGTGACGACTGAGAGCTAAAGGCGCCGGACGCAGTGGGGAACATCTTGGCGGGTGAGGGCGGCCACCGTTCGAACTCGAAGTAACCGTTCTGTTGTTGTTGATTAACCGCGTTGTGGTGAGCCGGCGGTGGTATCCTATTGAGGTATTCCGTCATCGTCGCAGTGCCCGTAAGTTCGTTCGCCAATGGCGTATTGTGTACACTTTTCTCCAAACTTTTCCTCTTCTTGTTAGCACTGTCGGCTTTTCGCCGTTCCTCAGCCTGCTTCTGTTGCTCTGTCGTACTGGTCGGTATAGCAGCGGTCGTGTGCTGCTGCACTTGACAGGGGCTCTGTTGCAACGTCTGCAAGTTCTTCACAATACTCATCGGGTCTCCCCGGCAGCTGCTCAAGTCCTGCAGCGCCACTTGATTAGCCTCGAAATACGGCTGCTGTCTATCCGCAACGTTTATCAGTCTTTGCACCTGTTGCTGAACCGGCAAGCTCTGCGCATTCATGTCGCCAGCGGTCGCATTTGTGCCGCTGTAAACGGCAAACTTCCTGTTATCGTTCACCGTTTGCCGGTTGTCACTCTCCCAGCAGACTTGCTGCTTCTGCGTCTGCGAGAAATCCTGCTGCTGCCTGTCGTACGTTTTACCCTCAGCGTTGTAAGCGGTTTTGTTGTTCTCTGTGGTGCCCAACGCGCGCGTAATCACCGACGAATACGCGACCTGTCCCTGGGACGCCGGTCTAGAAACGGTGACGTCAAGAGGTGACGACGGAGTAACCTGTTGCTGAACTCCGCCTTTGTACGATGTGCCGCTGGCACATTGATTGCTGTTATTTTCGGTATGCTGTTGCAACGGCGACGGCGACGACATGGTCGCCATTGGACTATTGTACATGGGATACGCCGGACTCGGAACGTGGCCCAAGGGACTGGCCTGCGAATGGGCTTGCAAAGGACTCGGTCGTCGGGGAACAACAACGCTGCAGTCTGGTCCATTTTGCGAAGTATTGGAGGAGTACGCGGAGTCCGTTGAAGTTGCGGATTTTGATCTGCCTGGATGATGGTACTCCGCGTCGTTCGTTGATCCCGTCAAATAATGTCTATAGGTCGTAGTTTGTTGTTGTTGTTGTTGTTGCTGCTGCTGCTGCTGTTGTTGATTCAAAATGTGAAACGTCTGCTGCTGTTGCTGCTGCTGAGGATGCGACTGGAGATTGCTGTTGGACGATGCCCTCTGGTTGCTCGTGAGCTTGCCACTGGTATTGTTGCAGTTTGCGGTATTGTTCGTGGCGTAATTTAAGCTACGATTGTCCATAATGGAGAAGCTAATCGGAGACGATTGACTGTTATCATGCCCCTGTTGCTCGTTTCTTCGATGCTCGACACCTCCGTGGCTACCCAATTCCGAATAGATCTTCGCCTGCGCCTTGGACTGAATATTTTGCTGAGCGGCGTTGGTGACCGCTTTGTTAGGCGGCGACGTGAAATTGCCGTTGCGCGTTCCCTGTTTGTCCTGAATCGCTTGCGTGGAGCCTGATCGCACGGAGGCACTCAAAAAAACCGTCGTCGACACGACTGACCTCGACGGCGGCTGCGGTATTCTGTATTCCTTACCCGAGGCATTATTGCTCGGTGTCGACACGATGCACGATTGCTGATGCTGCAGCGACGATTGCACCTTGCCGTTTCCGGCAATGGATTGGCTTCCATTGCTCGCACTTGGATAAGTGCTCGTCAAGTTCTCGGAACTAAAAGTCGTCGGAACTTGATGGAAGAACGTCTGACTGCTACTGGCCTGCGACGTGGGAATCACGGATTTTACACTGACGGTAGGTGATTGTGATCTTACATTGACTGATTTCTTCGCGTCGGTCGGACAACCGGATGTCTTAAAATCTGCGCTACACGCAGACGAACTAGTTAACTGGGAAGCATTGATATTATTTATGGTCTGCGTGTTGAAATGGGTATTGAAAGTGTTCTCGTAGCCGGTGCCGCTGGATTTCGTTGACGGCGCGCCCGGGGACGAAGGAACAACGCTCTCATGTGGCAAAATGCCGAACGGGCTAGGCAGCTGTGTATTATTCTGATGTGTCCAGGCCAATGTTGACGCCGTGGGCGACGTCGGCACCCCTTGTTGTTCAAAGAATGTAGCTTGATGCGCGGTGCTATAATTCTCTCTCAACGCAGGAATATCAGACTCCGTTGTGGTGTTTTGCTTCGTCACCGACACCGTTTGCGCTTGAACGAGAGTTTGCCTATGTTGAGTAACATAATGCGCCTGTTTAGCATTGGGAAACAGAGGAGTGAAAACGTCGTAACCCACGGGGGGCGGAGATAGAAATCCCCCCGGATTAAAAGGGGACGGTTGACCCGCCAGAGTTGCTGTTGTATGGGCTGCTTGTAGAAGCAATTGCGACGTCGTTGTTGATGGCGCTGCCTGTGTAGCAGCTGTTGTTAAATGATGGGAGACAAAATCACTGGATGTCGTTGGTGTTGCTGCTTGAAATGTCCCAGTGGCACTGCCCACGGTAATACGATTGTATGCGTACCATGGACCAACGGGATCCATTACCCAAGCTTGGCACTATAGTGCCTTGCTTGGTATACGTTCAATGGATTCTCCTGATTGATAATACTAAAAACATACCTCAGGATACTCATAACTTGTTATCACAACTTCTTTATGTTTGTTTGCTTCTGTGCAAAGTAGTAAATTATGCTGAAAAATTTCCAGTAAATATACAATCACCAAAAATTCACTCGATGATCAGGACTAGCACCTCCATCCTCTCTGAAAAAGCAAAATAAAGTCACATGATTGATTTTGTTTTATAGTAAATGATAGACAGTGTGTACTTATCAAAATTACAATATAACTAAATTGCAACATTCTTTGCATTCCAAACTAAAAATTGTGTTTATGCAATATGCTGCTGTTCAAAAACCAGAAAACTCTATTTTAAGGAAATAAATGAAAAGTAAATATGTTGTAGCAACCATGACAGTCGCATCTATTTTGAATTATTTTGTCAATAAAAAAAGAATGATCAAGTAATTCTTATAATTGCGATTTTGTGCGTACATTCTCGTGACAACAAGAGAATTATTTGTGCAATCAGTAAAAACAAAATTAGTTGATTAGCTTACGTTTTGCATAGGATCCAGGATTAAGCACAACAATGAAAGAGTGTGCAATGTAATCTGACGTTCCTGAAGTGTTGCAGGATCGGGTGCTCGAATAAGTGTCGATAAAGGATCACGGATGTTCGCAGAATCCGAGATTGCTCGTTGAAGCTTCTCAGAGCGCACCGCCGAGGCTGCGACACAGTGCTCAGCTACAATCAGTGGCGATGACAATCGGTGCAAGTGCTGTACGTCCGACGACGACAGAAAGACAGGAAACGATCGCCGCATACTCGGCGCGGGAACGATTCCCGCAATACGAGAACAGCGACGGCGATGACGATGACAGCGACGGCGACGACGCTATTCTCTTCAAGGACGCGCAGCCGTACGGCGAATCGGATGCTGTGAAATAATGCAGCGCTTGTCGGACTGTCAGACGACGAAACGTCGTCTCGGCGAATAATATGATAAGTATGGCTACACAAGCAGCAGGAGCTATTACACGATAAACGCACGACACGCGATACGCGGGCGGCACTAGCGGCAGCAGTAGCACCCTACCGGACAACGGCGAGTCGCGCTCACATGATTCGCGCGTGTAATCACGGCGATGAACGCGCATTCCGTGCACCGCTTAATGACACGCGTCGCGACGTCTTGACGTTCTCGCACGGATTCATTTATCGTTTATAAACGACATACACACATTAACACTTGCTCGTGCACACTGTGCACAATATCACTGTCCCGCATTGCTGCCCATTATTGGCCGCCATTTTGATTCCAGACAACAATGGACTGCCATCTCCCGTCTGCTTCAGACAAATTGCACTAAACCACTAATACACTGGGCGGAATTTTTGAATAAATAAATAAGTTGTAATATATATATATATATAATTGTTACAATATTTATCTAATGTATAATAAGTTTATTGAAGAAAAGCATTTTACGACAAAACATTTATCGCCATATATTTCAGGTATTATGAAATATTCGTAACTTCATAGCTGTAATTAATTAGAGTTTGTTGCAAGAATCTTTGTAAGCATGCATTGCCGATAAATTAACACAGTATCAAAATATTTCGATAAATCGTAAGCAAACTGAGTTGCAAATTTAAATATTTAAAAATTAAATTCTCGATTTTGAAAAATAATGTAATTAAAATTTGAAATAATGCAAATTTTAAAATGTTTTCTTCATATATTTTTATATTAATAATTATAATTGCTTGAGCAATTCAACTAAATATTTCATATATTACTTTTTATTCTTCTTCTACAATATTGTTATTGTTATATGACGCTAAATTATTTAGAAACAACTTTCCGTGTAATGAGCGTTCATTCAATCACTTGTGTTGCTTGAAAACGTAGCCGTTGAATAAAAATAGACAGAATACACCAATCCAAATCGAAAACACCGGCAACCTGTTGATTATTAAATCGAGTGTGTGTACTTTTCTAGTTACTTCACAAAGTTCTTTATGACCGAGATTATTTAAAATGCAGAAAGTATCTTTATTTTAAATAAGCATGTGCAGAATATTTTTAAATAAATATAAAAATGAAAAAGCGGGACGAAATAGATTAGGATGTAATATTAAAAATTCGTAATCACAATAATAACATTTATTATAATCATAATGTAAGAATATATATACAGGGTGATTCAAAATAACCTGATGTCCTTGCAATGCCATATTCTTGAGCGAATTCTGAGACGATTTTTCCTTTTACAAAATTTTGTCCGAAGCTTAGTTTTCGAGTTATAATTGAAAATAGGTAGCAACTTACGAGTTCGATACAACGGGCAGGCAGGGACGCGCAATGTATAATGAGACTGTCAAGTGTTTACTGTCGTCTCATGACGCATTGCACCGTCCCTGCCTGTCCGTTGTATCGGACTCGTAAGTGGCAAATTATTTTCAATTATAACTCGAAAACTAAGCTTCGGACAAAATTTTGTAAAAGGAAAAATTGTCTCAGAATTCGCTCAAGAATATGGCATTGCAAGGACATCAGGTTATTTTGAATCACCCTGTATATATAAATAATTATCCTAGTAATAATTATAATAGCGTAACGCGCGAGTATAGTTACTGTGATTGAGATACCATCTATATTTTTACAACTGCCAGATTATTGCTACAGTAAAGACCGAGTAGGCAGCTTATGAAACCACGCGAAATCGCCTTACTCAGTAGTACGAGGGAAAAATAGGATTCAACAATTAAGACACTTAGTTGAGTATATCGCAGATATCATACAAAGTATACCAATGCCACTGTCCTTAATGAAATAGACAATGAGACTTGGAGACCTTCCAAGTCTTCGAGATAATTTTCATTTTTCACACTTTCGAGACGTAGAGATTCCAATTTACAAAGTACATCGACTTGATCGCAATAAGAAGTTATTTCAAGTTTTGTTTATTACAGAAGTAAGGAAATCAAAAAATACATGATTAAAGAATCACAAATCTGTTCCATGCGTGCCAATAGAACAATATAATTCATATAAATTGTAATCATGAAAGAGTTACCGAGAAGCGCGAAAAAATATATTAATAAGATTGACTACAGTGACGGTATCACAGTTATTTTGATATCGTACAATATTTGCAGTCGCCCGTCTCATTCACAACTCTTATTGATCTAGAATAGTTGCATATCATAGACACTGGGTAATTATATGCAACTACTATTTTTTTCACAATAAAGATTCACAAATCCATTATTTCACAGAGCATAGGGAGATAGTTTTAGAATATTCGTGCGTTTTTAAATATATGCGCTCTTGTTCTCTCGCTCTCTCTTTCTCTCTCCTTTCATTCAAACATACTGTATAGAACCGTACGTCCACTATTGAAGTAAATAAATAAGCTATAAACTACATATTATGAAAATAGTTGCAAAGTGACGTATTATCGACTGCGATTAAATTCGAATAATGAATTTGCAAGGGCGTTTCGAAAAAGTTATAAACATGTCTAAAAGTAATAATAAATAAACAATATGTGGCAGCACAGGACACATAACCCGGCATAGCTTTGGTTTTTTTCCCTTTTTCGTAAAATACATCCATATTAATATTTAATTACGGTAACGTTACAAAATGCAATATGTTATCAATATTGCTTCGTTTCATTTACGTTTCTGTTTTATCTTTTTTAAGGGATTTTTATGAACGGCTACCTCATTTGCATCTTCCGTTGTTGCCACACTGCAAACTTCCTGTATGCAGTGTTTAACAATTGATTGAGATGGCTTGTCAAATGCTGACTAACTGCAGAAAATTCTCTTTGCACACGATCCTAAAATGAGACTTGTGTGACATCAAAATTCATAAAAGGCAATAAAGAGGTTTTGAGATCAACACGTAATATGCTTACTTCAAAAGGCTTTAGTTTAGCGGAATGGAATCTATGCAAAGCTTCATGCATTCTGATCGCTTTTTCCTCGAGCTGTAGTGTTGTCGGAGGAAAGCTTCGCCAAAAGTGCCTCAATAATTCACACGCGCACACATATACATTACGTAAGTCCTTCTCCAAATCCTTTGGTATTAATTCTATTTAAACAATTTAAATATATTACATTTGGTTCCATATTGATTAAAAAATAAATAATAATATATCTAATACATGTTTTTTATTTAATTAGATTATGTACACTTACGTCCAAGACTTTCTTCTCGGAAACCTTTCATCAAGGATCCACCAGGTGTTAGTTCACCTAAAGCCGATACTGCTGCAGCAGGACTAACTAAGGATGTTGCTGCTTGCCGTGGCAATGCGTTACCGGATATCCATCCATAAGCCTCCCTTTTTAAGTGACTTAATGTAATGAGTAGTTCTTCAGAAGTCGGTTCTGTGTCTCCATATCCTGGTACAGGTCCGTGCAAATATCTATCTACATGCGTTAGGTTCAATGGTGCTCCGTTATTTGTATTTATGTCACAGCTCGTGTCGAGATCATCGTAAGTTATCTTTTCTTGTATTCTACGCTGTAAAGAGTATTGAAATGCGTAAAATAAATTATTTTTGATATTATATATATAGCGCAAGATATAAATACACAAAATAATACAAAATATATATATATACCTTTTTAGTCTTTGGTCCATCATCTGGTTCGTTATTTGCAACTTTATTACTTGCAGATGGTGTAGATCCATTTAACTGTGGTTGATTGCTTTGCATAGACTGTTTGGCAGTGCTGGCTTTCATGACCATAATGCTATGCTGATTAAATCTCTTGATCATGCTTTGATGAACAATATTTCCTGAGGCTTTATCAGATTTGCTACATCCACTCCCATAATTCTCATCCAGTGACTGATCCTCGAAAGAAGTGATATCCACCAATGGATCATTTATCCCAGACTGAAGGTCCTTCTTTAATTCTTGATCATCTATTTTGGCACATTCGGTAAAAAGATCCTTGGTCCCAGCATTAATACGATCTCTGTGAAAATAATGCGACTGAAAGAATTTTGTCCAGAAATCGGACTCTGATATCTTGTGAGGCACATTTTCCTGATGTTTCCTCTTAACAGCTGGGTAAGTTTTAAATATACATTCTATTACATCGACAGTTAAATTGTATTTTAATCCATTGCAGCCATCAGTTTGTGGTTTAATATCCGCCTAAAAAGTTGAACCAGTCTGTTATTTGTAATCCTAGTCATTTATATTTTAAACAAAAATGTAATAAAAAATATCCTACCAGAAACGCGCTATTAACACCAATTTCCTGACGTTGAATTTTTTTCGCTTGTGTATATTCTGCAGCATGTTGTGACCAGAATTCCTCAGATGATATAACTTGCGTGATAACTAGGTCACGATATAATTGAAGCAGCATTGGATGTTCTTGAAGAGTTCTGAAAAATACAATTTGCAATTAACAAATTACTTGACGTGGCATTTCTAGATAAAAGAGAAACATTTCGATAATTTTACCTATTTTTCTCTTCTAACTCTTTATTAACCTTTCTCTTAAATTTTGGTAGTAATTGTTGCAATAATTCCTTTACATCATCACGATCTTTAATTTGCGCTTCTTGTCCATTTTTATTTACAAAGTGAAATGTAGATGATGTTCCATCATGTAATACCACTTGTAGTTGTATCTTTGACTTTCCCTCTGGTGATATCTTTTGCACTGTAAAGAAAAAAATTTAGTCACATCAATAAATTCATATATTTGCTTTGTTTCATACATTTATATATATATTTTATTAAATAATACGATATAAATAACACACGAGTTGTTAAAAAACTAATGTAGTAATAATAAAGTAACAAAGTAATAATAAATCATTTAAAAAATAATAAATTAATAGTGTATAAAATAATGCTTTGTGATAAGACTAATATTATTATGTACACAATTCCTTAAAATCTTACATTTAATGTCAGCGTATTTATGGCTGACAGATACAGTATCCCTGTTATCAAGCATCCATGCTATTCGTTCATTCATCACATATAACGTGCCATCTCCCTTCTTAAAACGCACTTGGCTCACTTGCATCAAAACATCTTCTGATGATGTGGTCATGGTGGATGTAAAGTGCAGTATAATTCTAAAAGTAATAAACATAATTTTTTATAAAGAGATTAGGTTAAAAATAATACATATATGTGCTCGTACACATATATACATAAATATTATTTTAGAAAAACTTTTACACTAATGTAAAAAATGTATGAATAACATATTTTAATCAGAAAAACTATGCACACAATTACAGTTTATCTAATTAAAATAAGTTATAATGTTTCCAATTAAAATAGATAAATTGTAATTATACATAGATTCAACTGTACTATAGATTTAATTTAACCAAAAAAATAATTTTCTTCATGACTGTTACAGAGAGACAGACACATTTATAAAACACTAAATCGAGATATTGTGATCGTAAACACTTTCCATGCAAAAGACGATTAGGGAATCTCTACGAATATTACGTTATCGAGTAAAAAAGCAGTATGTATAGTTCTATATAGAGAGCTCAAGTTACTCCACACGACGTCCTTGAATATCATGCAATGATTATTCGGCGCCCAATTACTTTCGATAATTTTTTCAGTAAAAAACATAAAAAACGGTACGTCACAAAGGGAAGAAACATTCTTTAACAACAAGGAAATGGTAATTCGCGTTGCGGCGCCAATACCGAGACTATGTATGCAGCGCGCCGTAGTGGATCTCGTAAATCTCGTTTTTCGTCAATTAAGTGCTTCAAATGCCACGAAAATCAACTTTTGGCACGTTTCAGCACTAGAAACGCGTGTTTCCCGTACACGAGTGCCGAAATACGACGAGAAAGCGTGCATTTACCGGTGGCGAGTCGCCAAAAGCCGCGGAGCAACGTAGAGGCCTGTCGGGCGGCACGGCCATGTGCAGAAACATACGTCGGTGGACGCATCGCGAGACGAGCACGGCTACGGACGGACCGTCGGTACGAACAACACCATCGACCTGCGGCGACTGACGGCACTATGTTACTCAAGTGACGGCGTTGTCACCGCTTCCTGTACCAGCACTCACATATCATTCTCCATTCGATATTCAGTGCATGTTAAACACACTGGTATGTGTAAAATATGTTATTTTGTGTATTTAGAAGTAAAAACGGATAAGCATATTTCTGCGGAAATAATTTTCAATTTTCAGAGTAATGATACTGAGCAGAATACCATTGGCGCCAGCCGCGTAATTGAATGTGAGCGTGCTCCGTCGTGCGAGGGCGCTAACGCGCGCAAAATTACAATTTGGCTTCCAAACAGGAAGAGATGTACGAATATATTGATTGAAATAATTTTGGAAGTCTTTCGGCAGAATTTGGATCGAGAAATATCCGCATTAATTACTTTTTTTGTAATATATTTGTCCAGCAAAGCACATTGAAATAATTTGATCTATGGATTCCGTGGAAGGTACGAATATAAATATTTACCATGATAAGAAAATGTATTTCTTAATGCACGTGTGGGTAAACGTCAAACAAGTTTTTTATTTTAAAAATATTAATAAATATATATGACTGTAATAATCTTGATAGCATAAATGTTAGATCGATGTTAAGGTTACCATAGTAACTTAAGTGTAAGTAGTTCTACCGAATCCTACCTATGTAATTTATTATTTAATTATATTACTGTTGATAACAATGTGGATTTGTTCAGACAGTACGTACAATTTTGGAATACTTTCGGAATGCTTGAATTAAACACTTGTTTTCTATTAATACAGATTTTGAATATGTGCTGCGGAAACCGAAGCAACAACGATTGTGCTTCGGTTCTGGACAATCACGCGACACCTCTAGAAAGGGTATGAATTCTTTCATGAGATACTATACTTTAGACGATTATCCCAATATAGGACCTAGTTTCTACAATATCCTGGAATCGTTTAATGCTATCAAAACCAAGGTACAAACTTTTATGTTAAGTAATTGCTTTTTTTAACGCTAGTATGCGTAATTATATTCATTTAATCTCTTTTAGTAGCCATGCTCTCATAGTATCAGTAAAAAAGGCTACAGCGGCCTCGCCCAATTCGCCAAATCTGTCGCCCATGTGGAGGATTATCCATCACCATCTGATTATAACGTTTTTTCCTTTCCTAAGCACGTTAAATCGCAAAAATATCCGTTTGCATCTACCAGCAAGCGTAAAACTTTCGATATTAACAAAAATCCAGGGTAAAAATTTTGCGCTTTGTGAAAGCTTCTGTAAAGTAACGACAATTTTATTTTAGACCTGGATTATATGTCAGCAAAGAAATGAAAGGCATTAAGTTTGAACACAGTTTTGGTGGCAAAGTTAAAATGCAACTTGGCGTTGATTTTAAGTGTTGCAGTCGCAATACAGATACTTGCAAGATATGTGCTAAAACACCAGTAGGAGATTACTGGCACTTGAACAATAAAATCTTCTTGTGCAGAATGTGTATGACAAAAGAGTTTCAAAAACAAGTAAGATTTAAGAAAAAAGAACTGGAGTTATTCCGCGTAAGTTTTTATAGAGTTAATTTAAATTCTTATGTTTTATTTGTATCTAAATATATGACGATTATGATATATTCTGTAGAAAGTAAGAGATTGCTCAGGTATTCACATTCATGAAGGTACTGACGCAAAGATATGGCTGATGCATCCCACTGTGGTCAAACAATGGATGAGAAGAGAGACTTACCTCTCAGCTTATTTGAAAGATTAGAAGTCAAATTAAAACAGGTTTTTCAATCTTTAATACTATTCTCTTGCCGTTGTATCAAATATGAAAGTTTTACATAGATTAGCTTTATTTCATTCTTAGTCAATATTTATACAATATCTATCCGCGTAAACCAGTGTCTATTTAGGCACTATATACACACAAAGATTATACAAAAATATGTGCATATCGCGCGCGTGTGGTGTGTGCGTGTGTGTGTGTGTGTGTGTATGTGGGTGTGTATAGTAAATACTTCAATTAATACATATAGTAGTTTAAGTATTCTAAATATTAATTTGACGTCAATAGTTGATATTATTATTACGTATACATGTTCATCAGTCGATAGAAGTTCTAAGATAGAACTGAGATATTTTTTTCAATGAAAAAAAATATCAATGCCAGTTAGTTGAAACACAACACTTCAAATGGATTTTCAAGCAGAAAAATATCACGAGTATATATATGAGCTCCAATGATGAGTCAAGTAAAATATTCCACACCAACATTTTAATACTTATTAGCTTAAAGTTCATCACCACGTAATTATGAAGAATGTATATACAAAAGTTTTAGCTATCTGTTGATGTGACTTGGGTACCACTTCGCTGTCGCTTCGTTATAACCGACGTCTTAGCTTCTTCCACAGGATTGCCACCTTCGGGCGCTTGCCTCGGCACTGCAGATAATTCAGCTAGTAACTTAGGCTCGATAGAGCAATGATTCTTCTCGGTATCGGCTTGCTGTGCTGACGATTTGTCACATGATGCGGCAACAGTCAATTTCGCGCTATTGCCCGACATTAAATCGTCGTTACCAGATTTGTGAATAACGGTTACATCGATACTACCGTCGACATTTCCCGATACAGAAGGTGTCGACTGAAAAAGTTCCGTAATTCCAGAAATAGAATTCGTTCCATTTTTTTCGGATTCTAATACGTTCGAATTTTTCGTTTCGGCTTGAGATAGAGCGTCGTTCTTCGCCGAGTGATTGCGTGTACCGAAACTTCTCGCGTATCGATTGTCCAGTTGTTCCGCAGCTTCTCCTTCCGGCGATGCGGCGGATAAAACTTGCAAATCCGGTAAGAAATGTTGATAGAGAAGCGGATTGAATATACAGTCCAAATCCATGTGACGTATGTTGGAAGTAATCAGATATGTCGTTAGTTCGTCACAGTTCGAACTGTCACTGTTTTCTTCCGCGACTAATTCTTCTCGTATCACCGTCGATATTCTACTGTAAGGTTGCGATTCTTCGGACGATTTGAGAATACTCTCGCTGATGGTTGTATCGGAGATCGTAAGATTTGTCGTAAGAGAGTGAGTCTGTTGTTCGTTCGTGTTATCGGTTTGAGTGGGCACTGAACAAGTGTTGGCGCCACGAGTGCTCTTGTGTTGGTCTTGCGAATTATTCTTATGATTTCGCAAATTTGCGAATAATTCCAGAATGTTTTTCCTCATTGGTATGGTTGGTGTTGTAGAAAGCGGCTTAGGCGGTAAGTCTAAGGAAAGTTTGTCAAGCAGATGATTTATGTGTGTTTTCGTACCTCGTGCCGGATACTCTGCGCTATTATTTGATAAAAAGTTACGAGTCAAACTGTGTAGATTTTTATATTGATTATGATAATAGCCAGACTGTTGGCTGAGACGTGTGTTGGAATTCGAGTAATATCCAGTGTCGGTTGCTTCGGAACTTACAGCCCTACTGTGATTAGATGCCGGTTCGAGGTGTGAATCATAATTGCTGCTCACAACGGAGGAAGCTGGCCCTTCGTCATTTACAACATTCCGATCGCTCTCTGTTTCACATTGATTCGGCACTTGCGATTTTTCATTGGCAGAATATGCGAAAACTGTATAACTCTGCGGCGCTGTAATCTCGCCATTTTTATCGTCATTGTTTTCATTATCACTATTCGGCTCAGTTAAAATCATGTCAAAATCATTGTCAAATTCGTTCTCAAAAGCCGTATTGGTGACATCATGTAGACGCGACTGCAAACGTTTTGTGATATGGTCTAGCTCAGTTAATTTTTGCCTGCAACATATGTCGATCATATTTAAAGATCTGTATAAAAAAATGACTGAATAAAATCAGAAATAAAATGAAGACAATCATAAGTATCACTTACTTCAAAGATGATGATAGGAAAGACATAGAAACATCTTTTAAGCCATGACCAATATCAACTATAGAATTATTTGTCTTTTCTTCACTTTGCATACATCTGTCTTTATGACTTGTATACGCGATAACATTTTGATGCGCGTTACTTGATTCCACATTGTTGTGAGGTGCATCGTGCGAATGTTGCCAGTTTATCTGCAGTAAATTGCACAGATTTGGTAAATTAATAGCGCCAGTTGGTATAATTTTTCCTAATGGCACATCCAGAGGTGTTATACTTATCTAAAAGCAGATTAAAAAATATATTAAAATATATAAGCGAGATATTCAACTGAATATCGAATTCGGAATTATCGCAGAAATTTACTTTAATTTGTCCATTGCGTTTTTCGGTAAAATCCATTATATCAAACCATCCGGATACCGCGGTAAATCCAGCCATTAAAATTGAGAGATCGACAGCGGCAAATCCAATCATAATGTCTTTTTCTAAATTTATCTCTGCAGACGTATCTGGATCGATCAAATGCCACACTTTGAGGATCAATCTTTTCTGATTCTGAAAAGATATACAAGATATTACTAGAGCACATATTAAGTGTCTCTGCAAAAAAAGTAAAGTTAAATATAAAGTTGCATACATTTAAAAGCAAGTCTGTTGGTAGCTTTGCCTCGCATATCCAATTCCATTTTGGATTACAACTACGTGTAAAAACATTTGTGGCTCTGAATGAATTTAAATGATCGCCGGGATCAACTTTATGAGTTAAATCTTGAAAGGTCACGTATGTACTTGGTTCTGTTGCTTCATTCTCTCCTTCAATCTCTGGCAAATGTAGCCCGCATTCAATTTCTACGACGGATCGGAAAAAAGAACTATCGCAATTAGTATTTGTTTCCTCTCTTTCTGCATTTCCTTCCGTTATAACTGAGTTGGGACAATTATCGTAAGCGTTAATTTGTTGTTGATCCAATTCTTCATCAAACTCCGCCCCGACACCGACACTTCTGTACATTTCGGTAGGCAATTGAAAATCATTTCTCGGACTACAACTGTCACTATCATCAGTAAACATTTTCAAAGTATTTAGGCGTAACTCTTCTCTATCTCCTTCATTCACTTGATTTGTTTCTGTTTGAGCTGACTGGTCGATTTTAGTTTTATTATTATGTAACGCATTTGCTAAACGATCAACTAAGGCATGTAAACCTAAACGTTCCGAAGATATAACTTCTTGTGCTGATTCTTGCGGCCTCGCATCTTTAAGACTTGAAATGTCCGTTTGACTTTCTTGAGTTTTGTAATCAACAGAAGTCCAATCTCGCTCGGCCGTATTATAAATGTGATAAACGAGATGATTATTATGAGTGGATTGCTCTGAACTGAGGTTTGGCACCTCAAGAATATTGCGGTATGAACTTTCTTCATCATCTACCGCATATTTCGTATTTTCAGGTACTCGACAATGATAGTTGTATATTCTTAGATTTCTTGTCATTTCTAGATATGCAATTTGCTCTGCAGTACCGAGCGCGACCAGCGCAAGCAGTTCTCCGCAACGTATTCCGCTTACTGGATCGTTAATGCTAACCCAATCGTCCACGCCTATTATAGGATCCTGTCGAAAAAAAAAAACAAATATTATATAACCAATTAAAATGTTAAATCCTAAATATAAAAAAGTTAAATGTATAATTATAATTACCTTCGACAACAAATGAACGGGTAAAATAAGTAGATCTTTGTATGCAATATATAACTCATGCACAGGTAGTTTTGCAATTCCTAACAGGTTATCTGTTCCTTGTTTCTTTCGACTGTATACTTCTATGATTATGTAATTATCTCTGATTCTTTCTAAAAGATCTGTACCGTAAATTAAAGGTACTAACTGCAACAAATTTTTTAACGTAAAGCTCACGTTCGCTTAATTGAAATACTTTGGTAAACGATGAAAAGAGGAACATTTACTTGAGAGAAATTGTAGCATGGATTTCCTGAACGACTGCATTGCACTTGACTTATTGCTTTGCCCTCTCGCCAAAACGCTCTACATATTAGATAGGTGTTAGATTCTGATAAGTCTTTCCCCTCTGACACATGTATCAAACCATAAAGTAAAACCTTAAACCAAATACAAGTAAAAAGACATTTAATAAAATATTTATTTAGAATTTAACATATATTTTGTATGGTTTTAGAGCCCGGATAAGAACTGTAAAGCAAGGCTCTGTTTGATCATTTGCGCTGAGCAAGATGTAAAAAGCTACGATTAATTTACTCTTTATTATAATCTCCTTATGTAGTGTTCACATACACAAGTGATGCACAGCGTTATGATCTCATCTGGGTTCTAATCAATGTCACTTAAAGATACCTTATCTTCAGTAGCACTTTCTGGATTACTTGTATCAATCTTTTTATTATCTAAGCTTCGTTCTTGGTGCTCTGCCATATCTTTTGTAGCAAATGAATCCTTATCACCATTTTTATTGGTTAAACACTCAATTCGTCTGGCAGAGGCAGATGAGACTCTGTTACTAGATTTGGAGGAATGAGTTCCTGTTGCACTTTTGTATTTATTGCTATTTGTGTTTCCATGGGATTTTATTTCCAAAACAGGGATATTTTCTTTTGCAGACATTACAGTATCTGATACATATAAAACAAATTTATTAAATATCCAATAAAATTATATAGCTACTTAATATAATTATATGTCAATATTATACTTACTTTGAACAAACTCTCGTCCAAAGCGAGAATGACAGCCTAATTCTGCTTTAACATTTAATGTACCTTTTTTTATACCAGTGCCGCTGATAGGTATACCTAAAGTAAGACTTAAGTTTTTGGCACGTGCAATACGAACAATATTCAAATGTCCACGTCCCAATTCGCTTGGATTCTGATTAACACGCTGGACAAATATTTTGAATCTTAAAGGAAAATCTCTATTTAAAATATGTCTTGGTATACTGCAAGTACCTTCAGAGCCAAATTCAATCACTGTAAAAATCGTAAAACAATATATCATCTTGTTAAATATTGTGTTATTGTCAGAGGTACTACCCAAGAATTTCTGAAATGTTTGCTAAAAAATATTGACTCAGAGCGCTGAAATTCTAAACTTCTCAAAATAATCCCTTTGAAACAATATACAATTCCATTATTTCTGCTTAAAAAGACTTTAAAAACTTTTTATATTGGTATATCATTGGAATATAATCTGCTATTTGGATTTTTTCAACCGTGTCAAATCTTCATCTCTTCAACTTGATTTTTATTTTGGAAAAGAGATAGAAATTGCCATTAATTAAATCAAGTAGTGATTAGACAACTGCCATTTTCCAAATGTTAAAGAAGCAAAGATTTGACATGGAAGATTTGTAGAGATTCAAATCAGTAATGTTAATATTAATGTTATATGTTGTTACAAAAGAATTTCTAAGATTTTTTTCAATGCTGAGGGGGGGGGGGCGGCATTTAAAATGTTATAAAAATTGGTTTAAAAGACATGGAAGACTTAGGCAAGTAAATTGTTTTTTTATAATTACATTCCGAGAATTTTTGGACAGCACCTCATATATTTTAACTAAATCATATTATTGCATATAAATTTACTTTCTAATAGCAATGTAAATTTTTACCTGTTCCTATTTTTTGTTCTTTTTTAGCATATATTCTTATGAACTTAGCTTCTTTATCAGATTTTATATTTTTTTGCCGTGCAGATCCAAACTTTGTATCAAATTGGACAAAATATATTATTGAATTTGAATGTGCCAAACCTGTGCTTAAAAGATATGTTATTTATCGAAATCGAATGTATGAGGAGTTTACAAAATATTTATAAAAGTATATTAATAAGTGTATTTTTATGATATATAAGTGACAGGAGAAAAATTAAATTTACATACATGGTAAATAATGTTTTATGTGTCTGTATCCTGCAGAAGTTAGCATAAAGGATCCAATGTAAATTCTCATACTATTTACATATTCTAAAAGATCTATCTCTGTAATGTAATAAATAATTTATTGATATGAGCTATACAAATTTTAATTTAATCTATTACTTTACTAACCTTTCGACTCCGTGTAGATCATTTTCCTATACATTGCCTTTTCTACAGGATTGTTTGATTTGGCAGAGAAATTTTTATCCTCTCTAGTTTCTACATTATCATTTTTATCAGTTGTAATTGTTTTAGATGCTAGATCTATTAAACTTGAAGTTGGAGATATTAATCTCAACAAATTCAAGGCTTTCTCTTTTTCTGAAAAAGTCATTTCCTTCCCTAACATATATTCATAAAGTTTAGCCTTATTTTCTCTTGCGGTATAAAGATATAGTTCAGGGCTCATAGAATTATCACTCAGATCTAAAAAATCTTCATTATAAGTCTCTTTGGATACCTTTTCTCTAAGCTGCTGTGCTCGAGCAACAATCTCAGAAATTTCAGCTAGCTTGTCTGTTAATGTTTCAGTATGTATCATCTTTTGCATTTCTGATTGTTTAGTTGTAATGATAGGTCTATCAACATTTGCACATTTTATAGAATCTTTCTTTTCAATGTTATCCATATTCTTGCAGGGTTGTGAATTATCAACAGTAAGAATATTGTTATCTGTTTGCTCTTTCATCTGTGTAATTGAAAACTTTGTTAAATATGTTAAGTATAAACAAACGTGTATTTTCCCAATTCTGTTGTTACTGTTATTTAATATAGGAATAATTTGAGAATAAGGTTTATATGTAAATAACTGAGATAATTCTTTTATATGCCCTATGCCAATAACCTCCTGAGTTTTTTCTAGCACAACTAACAGTTCTATTGTTTCACATTTCTTGATATATTCTTCAAAAAGTGTGGCACTAGTTTTTATAGGATATATCACCGTTGTATCATCGTTCTTTCTTACTACATGTGTCATAATATCTATTGGCCTAAGAAAAGAAACATGAAAATATTTATACATAAGACAAACAATTGCAAAAAGATAATAGATTAATCTAGTCATTAATAAAAATTTTTTTATAAATGTAATTTTACTTTTTTCGTATATTTTAGTGCAAAAAGTCATTTTACAAGCTTAAACAAGTTACCTGAAATACGCGCTGTCACGCTCGCCCCACCAGGAAGCTATTACCGTGACATTGCCAGGGCTTCTCCTAGTCCAGAGCACCTTATCGATAACGAGCTTCAGAGTGCCGTGAGTTTTGCCCTCGACCGACGGCGGCAGAGATTTGCACGGCAGTGGAAAATTTGCTCTTACCCATTTCTTTTGCGTGAGACACACTTCTCCTGCGCTAGACGCTTCACGCATCCTCTTTTTCGTTTTTGTTTTTTTTTTGTTAATTTAAAAGAATCTTCGGCCCTTCAGTTTATTTAACACAATATCGTTTTACATATCTGTCATCGATCTTAGGTTAAAGGCACGCCGAACAAACTACACACACCACGCGTATACAACATGACAAATGATCACATTACAAGTAAGCACAAGACTATGACGGATGCCGAGATTCCAAAAGGCGGACTTACGACAACTGCAAACACTGAACTATATATATATTGGAATGGGCACTGCCATGCTACGTACGTTGGCGAATAGCGAGCTTGAGATAGATAAATTTGTGGGGCTTAAAGCCGAGAGCACAAGCTTTTACATAAAGCATAAAGCCGAGAGCACAAGCTTTTAGCCGAGAGCACAAGCTTTTACATAAAGCATAACGCATAAGCATAAGGAAATTGATTGGTCTATATATAAGCATAAGCAAATGCATAAGGAAATGGACCAATCAATTTCCTTATGCTTATGCGTTATGCTTTATGCAAAAAGCCGAGAGCACAAGCTTTTACATAAAGCATAACGCATAAGCATAAGGAAATTGATTGGTCCATTTCCTTATGCATTTGCTTATGCT